TATTTATAAAACAAATTGAATGTTTAAAACAGCTAATTAAGTTTAAAACTCAGGGTCTTCCATAATTTATACCGACAAAACAGATATACATAGCAGCCACACTCCACCATAAAACTGGGCAGATCAAAGTGGAAAAACTTTAAAGAAAAAAATTCTAAGGGCAAAAGTCGTTCAGCAAAAAGTTTGATAAATATTTAGTAAAAATAAAAATATAAAATGATTATTTAAATTCGGTCCTGGTAGTTGATGATGCATTCCTTAATAATGTGCTAGTTAAAAAAAATGTGAGGTCTGCTAAGTGAAGGGATATTATGGTAAAGTGATAACAGGAAAAAAGTATTCCTTTTCATAAAACATTAACTAAACCGGAGTTATATAAAATTATACAAGCCCATACACCACGTTTTCTACCTGTTTATGTATTATATTATAAGCTTGATCAACATATATACATAAAGTACTTCGCTTGCCTCCCTATTATCCGGAGTTAAACCCTATCGAAAAAATATGGGCCTTGGTAAAAGGAGAGTGGTAACTGAATCATATGAAGGAATCCTTGCTAAGGGGGAAGATAGTGATGCAAATTCAGGAACAAAGATCTTAGAATCATGCGAGGAATCATAATTAAGGCATTTTTGTTTAGACAAATACATATATTATTTAATTAGTTAAAATAAACTACTTAATTATTTTTTGTAATGTTCAAACCTCTCCCTCGTGATACTTTAATTGACTGTGATTGTAAGTATTGAGGAATTTGTTACTTACTAAAGTACTCCTTAATAAAAGGGACATTAGAATTATCTCTAAGATCTACTATAACCAGAAAGCAAATATCCGAATAGAGCAAGAGACAACGGAGGAAATCGAGATCAAGAAAGGCGTAAGACAGGGTTGTATACTCTCACCGACCTTATTCAATCTATACACCGAAGACATTATAAACACAGCACTTTCGGATCAAAATATACGTATTAAGATAAATGGCATCCGAATAAACAACTTGAGATATGCCGATGACACGGTACTAATCGCAGAAACTTGGGAAGATCTTCAAATACTAATTAACAAAATAGTAGAATGCAGTGAAGAACACGGATTATCACTTAACATAAGCAAAACAAAAATAATGCTAATATCTAAATCACCACAAAACTTCCCTGACATAACCGTGCATGATCAAAGAATCGAACGTGTAAGAAGATATAATTACCTGGGAACTGTTATCAACAAAAATAATGACTGCTCTGGAGAAATCAGAACCAGAATAGAGAAAGCTAGAGCCACATTTACTAAATTGAAAAAGGTGTTCTGCGGAAGAGATCTAAGTCTAAAACTTAAAATTCGCCTTTTGAGATGTTACGTTATGTCAGTTCTCCTCTACGGGATGGAAACATGGACATTGAAAAAGATCGATACCAAAAAGATAGAAGCATTTGAGTTGTGGATGTATCGTAGAATATTAAGAATACCCTGGACAGAGAAAGTAACAAATGTGGAGGTTTTGCGGAGAGTGCGGAAAGAGAAAGAGCTGATACTTACTGTTAAAAAGCGCAAACTACAATATTTGGGACCTGTTATGAGGGGAGATAAATACCAGTTGCTGCAATTGATTATACAGGGAAAGATAATGGGAAAGAGATCTATAGGAAGAAGAAGGCATTCATGGTTGAAAAACTTGAGAGAATGGTACAATTGCACCAATTACCAACTGTTTAGATCTGCAGCATCAAAAATACGCATAGCTTTGATGATTCGGAACGAAGACGGCACTTGAAGAAGAAGAAAGTACTCCTAATATGTTACTCATTGTTTTATCGAGTTTAACTGACTATAAACTTTATAATGATTAAAAACAATGAAAATAAAAATTATCAAATTCATTCTTCACTTTAATTGAATATACTTATGAAAACTGACTTTAAATCTGCCTGTTTCCGCCTGCCACTGGTAGAAACAGTCCACTCACTGGCGCTAAACACTACGTCACATTCCCAAACTTAAATTTGTTGCTCGCTGCAACGTAATGAAATACATTCGTATTTTATTACTGAAGCAAATCATATATAACTCCTATTAAAGACTATTTGTTGTAGACTAAACACTTTTATCGTAAATGATTAGTGAAAGGAGCTTCTATAATAGTGCTCTGGTATGATTGTATTGTAAATTATCAGAAACAAAGTTTAAGAGTCAAAAATACTTTTTTTTTTAATTTTTAGTTATATTTATTAAAAACATTTTATTTTCTGATTTAGGATAAAAGGTAATAGGAATAAGTGATTGATTCGACCGTTACTTGAAGAAAATTTATTTTGTATAAGAATAAAACACTGAAAAATTTGTTTTCAAAACTTTCACAATATTTATTATAATATTTTATCACACTGTTTCGACAGAATTCCTTTTTTTAAACATATCCGAAACGGCTATCTTCTTCTTAGAGTGCCGTCTCCCTACGGAGGTTGGCAATCATAATGACTGTTTTTATTTTTGAACTTGCTGCTCTAAACAAATCAATCAATCACGTAGATTATTCAACCATGAGTTCTGCCTTTGGCCAAAATATCGTCTTCTTTGAATCTTTCCCTGTATTATGAGTCTCATAATCTCAAATTTTGGTCCCCTCATAACGTGGCCTAGGTATTCCAGTTTTCTGGTTTGTAAGTAATGATTAGTTCTGTTTCTTTACCAACCCACTCCAGAACTTTTTTATTTATAATTCTATCAGTCCATAATATTTTTAGTACTCTGCGGTATAACCAGAAATTTAAAGCCTTGATTCTTTTTAAATTGCATTTTTCTTAAAGTTCAAGTCTCAGCTCCATATAATAATATTAAAAATATATACCAGCGAATGGTACGTAGCCTGATCTTCAAATTTAGATTTTTGCACGTTAGGAATGACTTCATTCGTATAAACGTTGATCTGGCAATCTCGAGCAGCCTGTTTATTTCTGCAGCATGGTCATTGGCTTTATTGATCAAAGTTCCCAAGTATTGATATTTTTCTACTTGTTCTATAACGTCACCATTAATTGTCAATAGGTGATGTATATTTTGTGGTCTTTTTGTAATTAGCATGCACTTCGTTTTTTTTCACTATTCATGTTTCAGCACTATTCATGTTTAAGCTTTCGATAAGATGTTGAAGACCTTTTTTACTCGTTGCTATGATCACAGTGTCGCCTGCATATCGTAAGTTATAAATTAATTTTTCGTTAACGACAACTCCCGCTTAGATATTATTGAGCATGTTTTGGAAATTTTCTTCAGAATATAAGTTAAACAAAAGTGGAGATAAAACGCATCCCTGTCTAACTCCTCTACAGATCTTCATTTCTTCTAAGTGTTGCACATTAATTTGAACTATGGCAATTTGGTTCCAATATAATGTTTAAACTATTTTTGTATAATTTTACTGTCAATTTGCTTGTTCATAAGTATTGATATTAGTTTTTTATGTCCTACTTTATCGAAAGCTTTTTCGTAGTCAACAAAGCACAAGTGTAGATCAACGTTTACATCCCGACATCCCTAAATCAATATGTTGATGGCAAATAGTTCTTCTTGAGTACCCAATCCATTTCGGAACCCGGAAATAGCAGTAGTGATAAAATATTTTAATAAATTTTGTGGAAGTTTTAAAAACAAAGTTTTCAGTATTTTGTTTTTATATAGTAGGTTTAAAGTTGTAGACAATTTAATTTTCTGCAAATAATGTCGTATAAAATTATTGTCTGTGTGATGGCTAGTTTACGAGATACAACGCGAAAACCCTTTGCAACCTTTTTTGAAGATGGCGGCCGGGGGACATGGGTGCAACCCCACAAACCTGAGCTTAAGCTAATATTTACTAACCCAACACATAAAAAATTAATCAATTAATCACTCTGACAAACCAATTCTTGAAGAAGAATAACATTAGATCATGAATGTGTTGCTTGTGTGAGTCCATTTCAAATAGGTAAAGAAATAATAAATAAGACTGAGTAAGTGAGTAAGTCTTATTTATTATTTCTTTACCTATTTAATAACATTAGAATTAGCATTCTGGAAAATTCGCCCAATAAAGATTCTTTTTGTTGGCGATGTCATCGAGACGGTGTGAAGGTCGATTGTGAAACCTGCTCCAGGACTTTTCACCACAAATGTCTAAAACAATCGATAACTGATAATGAGCATTGACCATATCCAGAGTTTGTAGGTATATTACGAGCCGAAAGTAGTCAAACAAGGATTAAGTCTATGATAGGGATGCCTATATCGCATCTAAGTAGCCTTCTTGATTTTGCTTTTAAAATGATGATACAATGTCAAGGGTCGGAACCTGTTATGAATCCGTTAAGTGAAAATTAATTTCCTGGATACAAGAAATATGTCACACAGCCTATGGATTTATCAGTGTTAAAGTAGAATATTGAAAATAACCTCTATGGTAGTTTCCAGGCATTTGAAGCTGATGCCAAATGGATATTGCATAACAGCATTATATTTAACTCTTATCAATTTAAATTGACTACAGCCGCAAAGAATATGCTTGGAATATGCAAACAAGAAATGATGGAAATAGAAAACTGTCCGAGCTGCTATTTAAAACGAATGTCAATCAAGATATGTGGTTTGTGGAAGTTTGCCAATTCCTCACATTCCTGTGTGGAAGGCTTTCCTTATTGGCCCGCCAAGGCGATGTCAGTCAATCCTTCCGGTTTGATAAACGTTAGATTTTTTAGAGCACATGACAGAGCTTGAGTCCATTGGAGGGAATGTTATCTTTACTCGGAGAGAGATCCAAATACTTTTAAACAGAAGAGAAATGACATCGAAAAATGCGTAGAGGAACTAGATGTATACATTGAGAATTTAAAGAAAATCTACGGCAATTTTCGATACGCTCCATTCAGAACACTCGTAGACCCGTCAAATCTAACGAGGAAACTACAAGTATTCCTGTTCAAATACAAATCTATGACTGGCCAACGACTACATTAAAAGAACCCATGGAGGTTAAAATAGAGCAATCACAGAAAGTTCAATCAGAAAATTCCACAACAGAAGACAACTCCACCAAAGAAGCCAACTCTGCAAAAGAAGACAACTCCACCAAAGGAGAAAATATGGATATCATGATTGAAGTTTATGATCCCGACAACGAAAAGCCGACGCAAATAAACTTGGAATCCAAGGAAACTATAACTAAACAAAGCACGGCTAGTGAATTAATCGAAGACGAAGATGATATGGATGATACACCAGTACCATCCAATGTTTCGATATAATGTTCTATATCTAAAGGATATACAAGAATTAGAAGAAAACTCTCCTATACAATTGGCACAAAAGGAAGTTCATGTAAATCATGCAAGAATCATTCTCCTACCGAAGAAGCCTCAACGCCGAAGAGATTAAACAAAAAATACAGTGTTTACAGTGCAAAAATGGACTCAAATCAATTATCGAGTAAATCAGATAAAATCCATCGATTGGGGTGTTCAGATGTTACAGAAATTAGCTTAGAAGACTCATATAACATCAAACAACAGAAAACGTTGATATCAAGAAGAAACAGGTAAAAGTTGATATCAACAATAAAGGAATTTTTATATCTCCGATTAAATTAAAAATGGGTCAATAATGAACATACCTGAAAATACAGAAACTATTAGTACCACGGAAAAAAAAAGAAACTGTAATCGCTAGTAATGAAACTAATAATGAAAAAATTAAATTGCGAGCTCTAAAAAATGCTCGCTAAAGGCCTAAGAAACATTTCAATGGACTAAATATATTATAATAGTTGAAGCAAAATAGTTGGATAATGATTTAATACTCTACGTAACTCCACATGTATATTCATTCTTTATTATTGATTAGTTAAGACAATACACTTATTTTAAATTCGCCCTTTACAGTCACTTATAGTGAATGCATACCAGTTTATTTAATAGTTTATAAAAATATTTATGCCTTTTTAACTTTAAAATACTTAAAAACCATAAATCATCAGCAATTCATGTTAAAACTTTTATAAATCGAGTACAAAATAGTAAATTTGCTAATGCGATACGGAAACTAAATCTTGTGATGATTTTAAAACTACATTTGTGTCTTATTGGATACTAATACTGTAAATTATTTTACAAAACTAATCACAATCGTTTAGTTTTAAATTACAAGAAAGAAAGAGTGTTCAGTCGATCGATTTATCCAGTTTGATGGAATTATGGAAAACAAGTGTTTTTTTCTTTTGTTCTTGAAAATATTTAGAGTATATGGTAGTTTATTATAAAAAAAATTATGTTATGCCTTATTTGATAAAAATCTTGTTTCTCTATTCTTGTCTTATCATTAAATTATTTATGTCTTTAAATTTTCTCTCTATTTCTTGATGTAATCTTTTATTCGTGTCTTGTTCTGTATCTACATTCTTGCTAATGGGCATAGTGCTTGTTTAATCTTAAATAAACAGCTTAATGATCTTTTGTCCTATTGGCCATTTCTCTCAAGATATTCCTACTATTGTGTTTTGGGCCATTTTATCAATATTGTAGGATTTTCTTTTCACTCTGCAAATTATAAAAATCGGAAATAGTTTCTATTTTTTTGCATTTTAAAAAATTAGACTAAACAACCTCAAGAGTCTGTTTATAATTGTTGGGTGCCGCTTCCAAGATGAATTATTTACTGCCTTGATCTTTAGTTCGTCTTGTCTCTGTGCTACACATAGAAATTAAAAAATAAATACTGAATTCTCAGACCAAATAGACCGGCGATCTATTCAGGAGAATAAATGAATCGGTTATTTCGAAGGTCACATCTCCATTAATTTCACAAAATGAGTTAACTTCGACATTTTGTTCAGAATATCCTTTAAGCTTTATTACACGTGAAAACGCCACATCATCGCTGTTCGTTAGTATTAATCTTGACAGGCGTATATCTCTGTTTATTTCGAAAATGCCACTTCTCCGAAGATGTTGCGTTTTTGAAACAAATTGCGCGCGCCGAACATGTGATTTAGTGGTTACGGTCGCGGACCTTCCGAGTTTCCTAGACCAGTTGACGATTATCTTTAACACGATTAGGTTCCATTGTGTATTGTTTATACAAAAATGAGTAGCTTTGATAGTGAAACCAGTGTCAGTATTGAAATAAACAAAAAGAAAAGAAAGAAAGGTATTAATAATCGAGCCCTGTATAAAAGTTAAGTTATTAAGAAGGCTAAAGTTAAGGGCGAAGCCCATATTAATCACGTGGGAAAACAAATTATGGCGTTAAAAACTGAAATCGACTGTACCTACTTGTCGCCAGAAGTGTTGTGAACATTTTTCGCAAGTGAACAAGAATGCGTTGTTTACGTCTTTACATGACTTTGATGACAAAAACTCACAGGACTCATACTTACAAAATATGATCGAAGAAACTCCCATTAAAAGAATGAGAAAATCTCAGAATGCCATTAAACGTATTGACAGACAATATTTTTTTTGTTTCAGGTTTGTTTAAAATGAGTACGCAAGCAATCATGTAAGAAAGCTCTCTTAAGTTTATATGGTGTTAGATAAAAGCATGTCAGAAGATTATGCCAGCTCCTAGTAACTGGATCCACTCTAAGAGATAATAGAGGTAAATCCGTTAAATGCAGTCCAGTATGGTAATATATTAAGAAAGTATTTACCTGCTACTTTGGATGTCAAACAAATGCATAAAATGTTTTTCAAAAATTTTCGGAATCTAAAGTGAAATACAGTTTTTATTTGAAGTATTTTCATGAAAATTTTACATACTCTTTAGTCCGTCCTCACGTTGATGTATGTTCTGCTTGCAAAGAACTTGGTTAAAAAGTTAAAAGTACCACTCTTAACGACATTGCAAAACGAGTTGCTGTTGCAGAACTATTAGTTCACAAAAATAGAGCAAAGAAATTCTATTAAAAAATTGGAGCAGATTAAAAAACTTTCTTCAGAGACGGACGAGATACTAGGAATCTCCATGGATTATATGCAAAATTTGCCGATACTTGTACAGAAATTTTTTTATTATCGGCAGTTATGGACTTTCGAATTCAGTATACACAACTTAAAAACAGGAGAAGCTAAATTCTCTCATCACAAGTGCAAGGCCCACAAAGGACTCAATGCAGTGTGCACCTTCCTAAAAAATTATTTTGAAAATAAGGTTTCTGAAAATGTAAAAGAGGTGCATATATTTTTAGATGATTATGCAGGCCAAAATAAGAACCACACAGTAATAAGATTCCTTTCAGCTCTTGCTTCGTCAGGAAAATTTAATCACATTTTTCATTATTTTCCAATCAGAGGCCACTTATTCCTCCCGTGCGATAGAGACTTCAGGGTAGCAAAATGACTTATTCGCAAGCAGAACTGAATTTTTCTTCCTAAAGAATATTACGAATTAATAAAAAAATCTTCAGAAAATCTCTTTTTTCTGTAGAACTGGTAAAAAATGAAACTAATTTTCTAATTCAAAAAATGGTTGCTCATGCATTATAAGGAAACCGTACTCTCCATTGACTCCTATGGAAAAAAACCAAACATGATAAATTTCTTAATATAATGATTTCGGATATGACAACAAAAAACCGCAAATTGTTAAAGTACGTCCATTTATCATTGGACTTATGTTTTATGAATTTTCCTTGGGAAAACCAGCTGGAGTTTGTCCTACTTTGCCAAAAGAGTCTGTTTACACAGAAAAAATTTCTATTAATTCAAAAAAAATCAACAACATGATGACATGATGACAACATCAAGAAACTTGTACCGTATGTGCCAGAAGACAAAATGTTTCTTTCGTTTCCTGTAAAATTAACATTTCTGGAGTTGTGGCCTTTTCGAAATAACCGATTCAAATAAAAATCAACCTAGTGACATTCCATTTATTCTCGTAAAAATTGAATTTTTTAAATTTCGTCACTTTTGGTCTAGGAACAGAGGGAGAAAGGTCCGTTGATTGCGGTATTTGTCCTTTGCCGGCGACGGCTGGGAATCGTATTATCAAATATGTCTGATTACACCAGCTAAATAAGTTTCGGACCAACTAGATTCATGTCTTTCCCTTTACCTTTTCGTTTAGTATTAACTGCAGAATCGAGTATCTACTACTTCTCTTATGTGCTTTAAGTATTTAAGTTTAGTTTTTTTTTTCGTTTTGTCACTGTTGACCTATCTTGTTTAAGATTTCGTTTGTAATCTAAAAGCAGTGATCATACACTTTTAATTTTCGTTTGTATTGCTATATTTAGGACTTTTCCGATTTATATTAAAACAGTGTAAAATCCTATTTGTATATTATTTTTTAAAACTACCAATAGGTACCTGAAAAGATGTTATACAGCTCTCCATTTACAGCACCTTTCTAACACATGTATGTTTAAAACACTGATAATTTATATATCTTACATTACCGCTTATCTCTTTCGTTCTTGTAATATATCTTATTACTATCAACACTTGAACTTGTTTCGTTTTATACACTATCCGAAAAATGATGAACCATTAATGGTCTCAAAGAGTCTGTGTTAGGCGCTTCTGAACTGGATCTGTTATTTCCTACCGATTTATTGGGATTATTGGTCTTCGGAACAGAGGAGCGTGGGGAAGCAGTTCGATTCAAATGGGCGTCTTTTGTTGTATTCTAAAAAACACAAAAAAATATTAAAAATAAAATAACATAATTAGAGACAGTTGTTAATAAAAAAAAAATAACCTTTCTGCAATCCTTTCAGGTATTAGTAAAGTCTTTAATAAAAATTTAATAAGACAGCTTGTTTTATACAATCTAGCGTGTCTCTACTTTTTCATTTAAGCTGTTTTGCAGTCGCATATAACAGATAAACAAATTCGAAGCAGAGTTTTTATATTGTTCTGTGATCAGTTTTATTCTTCTTACATACCAACGACATATTATAATCTAAGATCGTTTTAATATGACAGTTTTTTAAAATAAAGGTCTTTAACCCGGCGTCACCCAGGTTAAAAATGTGTGTATAATAACTTAAGTGGGGTATTGTTGACCTCAAAAAAATATTTAAATTTCTACAAACAAAAAAACTAGATACATAAAAAAATCACAAACAAAAAAAAACGGATTCAAAATAAGTGATTTTTCAAAAGGTTCAAATAAAAATATAAAAAAAGCAGGATATTGGATATCCAAGCTTGAAAATGTTAGAAGTCCCAGAACTGGATATATTCATCGCAAATGCGATGAAGGTGATCTAAACAATAAAAATTTTGGCATTGATCGCACGTTTGTTAAGTTTTTCGGTCAGATTTTCTGGAACACTTTTAACACCGTCCACGTTCCGTACGTTGCATTTTCGATGGAGTTTGGTCACTTTCTCTCAAAACTTAACCTATTTTGGATTGTAAATGTTTTGTAAGTCTCGGATTACTCTTTAGTTCTTCCATAATTGGCGTAACTAATGCTAATCCCAGATCTTCCAGGAATATACGACGTTTCTTTGAATAGTCGCTAGTGTTTGTTCTGTAAATTATCTGGCTGTTGCTTCCAGCTGTGTCTATTACTAAAAAAATATTTGTAGTGGCCACCTTCTACAAATACGAGTCACACTGTAATTTCCTATCAACTCATCCACTGTATCAACCAATCCTTTGGTAAAGTAATATAAACTTATTATATCTGGTCAAAGTTTCTCGCCGGTAGATTTATTTATTTTATCATCGTGATGAAGTGATGAGAATAAAATCATGTTGTTCCCTTATTTTGGTACAAAGAATACCATAGTTATATGTTCCTGAATTTTAAATACTGAGGACTGTGGTGGTCTGTTCAGAATCTGTATAAATTCTGGAGGAATCTCTTGCTTGTTTTTTCTCAGTATTCCTACTAAAGTTAACCTATGTCATTCACGCAAAATATTTATAAGTTCTAAGAGGTATACTAATTATCGAAAGTGATATTTCTATTTTTACCAGAAATTGGTGCTATCAGTCTTTGGACAATATCAATAGGTTTATTGTTTATTTGGTACAGCCCATCTGGCTGGTTCCCTGCATAAATTTCCATATTAAAAATATAAAAAGTACGGGACTCTTGCCTTTCTTGTCGATTGTCAACATTATCGAAACGTAAGCACTGCAATAAAAATGAAAATCTATTGACTGACGTCACTGAACGACATATATCGGTTCCTATACCATTTGTTCCCAAAAGGTCTTTTAGATTACGATGACCATTTCTATATACACCCCCTAGGTAAAGGAGGCCAAATAATGTCTTTATTTCAACAACATTGGTCCTGCTACAATATGCTTTATCTTTGTAGGCTAACGCTTTTTTATCTATCAATACATTGGTGAAGAAGCAGGTGGCATGAAGCCAGCAATCTAAAAGGGTCTTAGCGTTTTTAGCATATGGTTTGGATCCTGGTTAGTTCGAAATTATGTTTTCTGCCCTTGTTCTAACTGCTTTATTAATATGGTGTTTTCTCCATTTTGTTTTTAAAATTTCTATATTTTTTTCACTTATTTTCAGATTCCAATACTTCTAGCTCCTCTATTTCTTTATTTTGTTCACTATCAGACTAATAACTTATGTAATCAACTTCGTTTTCATCGTCGAGTTTATAATTTTGTACTCATCATCTTCAAGATTCTGCGAAAGTGCCAATAGTTTGGCTTATTCTTTTTGTAATTCATTCTATAGAAAAAAGTTTATATGTACAACAAATAACGCCAAGAATTAAAATTATCTTAATTACCTTGCAAATTAAAATTGTGTCTTCGTCACCTAAGTGGGATCTAATCGGATTGCAGAACACTGTACTCACTTTGACGATCAACTTAAGTTGGTTCAGAATACCCAACGGCAACATGTTTTAGGAATCTATAGGTAACCAATAAAACTTCCTTGTATTAACCATAGAATTATGCTAGTTCTAAGTGTGTTGGGGGCACCATTAGACCACACCTGGGTGACGCCGGGTTAAAAATAAAATTAACGAAATAAAATTATAACATGTCATATTCACAATATTAATTTTAATCCCCAGGTAAATCAAAATACTTTATTTAATAGTAAACTTAAATTGAAGAATCATATTGCAAAAACATAAAATGGAATTGATTTAAGAAAATTGTACTTGTTTAAAAGCAGATAGAACATGTAATGAACTTTACCATACCTACCATTTAGGAGGAAATTCAGTAAAAAAATAATACTCAAAAGCAGTACAAAAAGAATAAGTAGAAATATTATGCCTCTACGATGCCTACTAGAGGATACTTGTTAGACCCTAGTAGGACTTGTAGAAGAGGGCAGCTATTGTACATGTCAGCAAAATGAAGAACCGACATCCAATTTTCCGAATGAATACAAAAAATTTGTTTATCAGAAAATTTGATAACAATATTTGTTACGAAGCAAATTACTGAGAAATCGCTAGGGTATAACGGATCAGCATTTATGTGTCTTATCGGCATAAAACAGCGTTTGACAGAGTAAGACTCAAAGATGTAATCCATCTCCTGTATAATGGAGAAGCACCCCTAAATATTATAGAAACTATCGAAAACATCTACCAGAACAACAAAATGAAAGTCAGAATAGATGAACAATTTACAGAACCTATAGAAATAGGCAACGGAATGAGATAAGAGGACTCATTGAGGCATATTATGATCTTTAATTTAATTATGGATAAAATAATCAAAAGCGTTAACAAAGGAACAGGACACAGAATGGGAAAGAATAAAATAAAAATACTTTGGTACGTCGATTGATATTCTTAATATTGATACTTAATACTTAATATTAATATTAAGATGAAAATAATTTGCAATGAATGGTCAACAAATTTCTTATAAGAGCAAAACAAATTAATATAACAATCTCATCTCAGAAAACTAAAACAGTAGTAATCAGCAAAAAACAAACCACATGTAAAATAAAATTTGATGGCATCCGTATTGAACAAATAATAGAAATAAAATACTTTGGATTTACACTGTCCAGCTATGGAGACATGGACAAAAAAGTGAGAGATCAAGTACAAAAAGCCAATAGACTGGCAGAATGCCTTAATACAGTATATAGTAAAACAAACACATAAACCATGGAAGCAGGATAGGAAAAATCCGTGTCGTCAAAATAGCAAGAGATAAGTCATCAATCAGCAGAAGAAGTATCGGACGACCGAGCGAAAGATAGGTTGACCCTCCATAGGGGTATTAATCCGCCAATGAACAAGCAAAATTGCTTATAAAGAGAAAGAAGAGGAAGAAGAAAATATTTAGAATTAGAATAGAACTTAACTTGATTAGCCTTAGGATAACCAGAAAGGATTACTTTGTCACAATAATTATTCTTTTATCAGGCGAAAATATGTCCTGGTAGCCTGGTAGCTCGACAAACGAAATATTAAATCGATACAACAGAACAAAGTTTTATAGAACTTATCTAATATATAAAAAAATCTTACCGTTGGTCGATTAACATCATATATTCTAGCTCTATGGCTCAATTCTCCTTTCAGATGCCATCCTTGTAAATAAAGATGAAGACCGAGGGGTAGTTGACTCTTACCATTTCTTTTTATTACTTGCCATCTACAAATATCAAGATATTTATCTTAAAATTTTGCCAAGAAGATTTTGGTATCAAAAGCCAACATGGTGATATAATTATTCACAATAACATTTTATATACCAAGCAAGATGGTCCAATGTAATTATGATACAAATACCAAACAAAAAAAAGTAAAACAATTTCATCATGACGATGAAATATCGACTTTTTTGGATCATAGTATAAATAGCGCCAACTGAAGGCACTAAAGTTTATCCTAAATCTACATGCAGGTATGGGATACGATCTTTCTGGTTACTGTATAAAGTTCTACAAGACGAAATGGTCATTTTATCTTCATATCATCTACGTATTTAACACTGAAATCTCTTTGTATCAGAGAAAATGTGACAGAGAGTAATGGAAGTCGGATACAAAAGAAACCAAAATATCCTAAAGTAAGTTTGTATTTATAGAGGACAGATCAACCACAGATGCAATTTTATTTATATTGTAGTTAATGAAAAAATACAAACTTATATGGTATTTATTGATCTTAAAAAAGCATGTGAAGATTGTGAGAGGTATCTGTGAGGTAGATATTTTAGAAGATCTTAAATTTACCACATACTAATCAAATACTGGCTCCACTTACATATTGGCTTAAATCGTCTTGACTTTGATAGAGAAAGAGCATATCGACCACTTTATCAGATTTATGCCATTTTTTCATTGTCTCACCAAAAACGTATACATAATTTTAATACAATTTTTTTTCGTTATTTGGATTTCTATGTCATTTAGTATATTACCTTGTAATTAATTGAAAGAGTCTAGCTTTTTGTCCAAACTTCTGTAGTAGCTTAGCTGCTCCTAGTATTGCCTCTTGGTGAGTTGGAGAAATTTGTAGAGATCGCCAATAGTGCCAAAGCGCCTCTCGGTAATTACCTAAAAAATAGATTTATTAACATAAGAAAACTAAGTTGTAACTAAAATAAATAAAAATTAACCGATTTACATATTTTATATATGTATATCTTTTTTATTGTTTGTGTGAGCATCTCAGAAGAGATTAAGGGCATTAGTTTAATTTCAAAGAGTTTAGTATCGTTTTTCGCGGCCAGTATTGTGATTTGGTACATTAGTTTTAGGATATATAGGATATAGTCATAGATACCAGACAGATAAAAGAAAAAGCGAGGAAATACAATATACCAATGATTGCACAAAGGCTTTCGATTCAGTACAATGAAATCTCCTTTATAGTATAGTGAAAAATATGAAACTATCTAACCACCTAGTTAACCCAATAAGAAATCTGTATGATAAAAACAGGATAATGGAGAAATCACTATAGAAAAAGATACACAGATGACACACTTATACTAGCAGCAAATACCTAAGCCAGATAAGCTAAGAATTCAGAGTGTATTAATACTGAAAAAAATAAAAATAACGATCCTAGACAGAGCAAATAATCTGCTGCAAATACACCACGTTGCGCATTTTAAAGTGATAGACAGATTTGTATACTTGGGCTTCCAAACATCCAATAATAACGATTGCTCCTCAGATGTGAAAGATTAGACTTGTAGAGTCCCGAAATTCAATAGCTAAATTAATTAAAATATGTAAAGAACGAACAATTATAAGAAATACTAAGCTCAAATTGAATAATCCCCTTATTTGTTCTATTGCTCAATACGCACCTGAAATATAGGCTCTCAATATAATTGATAGGAGTGAGATAGAAGTCTTCGAATGTAGGTCTATAAAAGAATTAAACCGATGTCATGAACAAAACATAGAACCAATCTATCAATTCTGAAAGAGGTTTATATGAAAGACAGGCTAATAAAAGAAGTCAACCAAGCATACTTAACTTACTTCGGCCACATATCTAGAAGAACGGGAAGGGGGAAACTATTCATAGTAGAAGGAAATATTATAGGATGAAGATCAAGAAAAAGACCTCCAAGACGATGGTCATACCAAGTGAAGACTCTGGTAGGAAAATCCCTACATGGAGCAATCCATATCACACAGAATCGCAAACAATAAAGACAGCAAGCTAACAATATTTAGAGTATCACCACTCCCTGACAATTGCGTATAAAATAAAGGAGGGCATGCTCTGAAATTGTTTGTTTATAACGTTTTGTATACATGTCTGTGTCAAACATTATCAAATAGGATACGGCATTTTATATAATATCCTGTCGCTTACTTTTTCATACAACTAATTAATAATCTCAACTTTGTTAAAAAATATTATAGGCTTACAGCTAGGGATGGTGGTTTTTGACAAAACACCGGTTTTCGGTTATACCGTTTTTTTTTCTTACAGTTTAACCTGGTGGTTATAACCGGCCAAAAAGAAACCGGTTTTTCCAAAAACCGGTTTTCGGTTTTTTAAACCAATTGGTAACAAAGTTACATTTACAATGCACTTTAGTTTGCGATACTTCATTCGGCTCGATATCAATATTAATTTTGATCCTTAAAAATAAATTGGATAATGCAATTCATCTTTTATTTTTACTACCATCAAAAAAATTATCATGTATTACTTTTAACACGTTTGTATATTTGTATAATTGGTACATTGTAACTCATTTAATACTTCCTGTATGGGTGTATCGTTTTGAAAACATAGGAAAATCCTTAGAGATTCGTATTCGTAATCGCTAATTCGACATTCATAGTCAGAACATTATTTTTGGTAACCAGAAACAGAAATTTACCCAATTTCAATGTCAAGAGTCAAGTGTGAAAAATATATGATATACCAGATCACTTCTTATGTAAATATTATGATTACAAATACCTTTTCAACGAAATATTATAATAAAACTTAATTGTTTCTGGCTGATATGAGTTTGCACTTTCAGTTTGCTTCTGTATTTATAAAATAAAATAAAAATTTGAATTATGGTTTTGTTTGGAATAATTACTTGAGAATTATAATTATGATTGGGATCCAAAATAATATCTAATCCCATTCACCGTAAAAACCTAATAACCGGTTTTTACAAAAACAAGCGATAAAACCGGTTATTGCGAAGTAAAAAAACCAGTTTTCGGTTAAAACCGGTAGGTTTTTACCAGACAGGAACTCAGAAGCATTGCGCGATTATATATTGCTGCAAAGCAATTCTTCTTAAGCCTTAAGTACTCTACCAAGCCACAATTCGAGCAGATTGTATATAAATTTTACACTCAAAATCTTTTCCGACAGGAGCGAGGGGTCTAGAATATTTATGTAGGTAATACTATGAAGGATGCTCTTATCATGAGTCATGAATCAGTATATTCTGATTTTGGTAAATAATTCGCCTACAATAAAAATGGCGTCCAACGTGTTGGCAAGACCTTTGTTTCCTAAAGATTTAATAAGGGAACCAACATAATGGCTATTTACATGCTATTCGTACGGCTTGTTTTTCAAATTTTCGCAAAACAATACTTGCAATAACCCCATTTAACAGACCTCCCACTACCACTCTATCAGTTTTTTTGTAAAATCCTTTAACTCACTGGAAATATTTTGTAATAAGGAACTTTCGAAAAGTCTTCTAATATTTTTTGGGAAGTGTTGACTAAATCATTGTAATGAATCACTATTTAACAATTTAGAAAACAGAAAAATTACATCGAAACTCACTAGTCTATTATTCAGTCTTACTGTTATATTCTGTATTTTTTTTGATAGACTTGAGAATCTTTGACACTGATAAATGGCTGGTTTAAGCACCACTATTTGGAATTTGCCAATATTGTACGTAGGAGAATTAAATAAATTTAAAATAAATCAGTCTGTCTTCTTCTTATTTAGTACCATCGAGATTATAATTTAAAATATATTCTACTTACCTTTTCTAATCAACCAATGTCCAAAATTTGTTGTAAAATAGGGATCTGTGGGATTCATATCTACCGCTTGCTTCAAGAGTTGATTTACACTCTGATCATTAGGGCCTCTGAGTTTTGCAAGTTCCATGTATGCAGGAGTAAATCTGGGATCCAGTAAAATGCATTTTCTTAACATACGTTCCGATTCAGCCGATTTGTTACTCTTTCTACAAAAAAATATAAAACAATGAATACAATCTTAAAAACAAATTTTTAATTACGACACTGTGTCAATGCAACATTCTTTATTTTAACTCTTAAAATAATCTAACGTTCATACTGAAGAGATCAACTTTGTGACAGAAAAATTGATTTATATTGATCCCTTTTAAGAGATCGTCACATAATGGCAAATATTGTACTATACCTAGTAAAAATGTACAATGATTTAGCAGTTTTTTTAACAATTTATAATCTCAAAAACTTCTAACATATCAAAAACTATTACAGGCTGCTTCCATTGATTTAAATTTATCAACAATTGTTTCCGGTCTCTTTAAAATACTACATAATTTGAATAAAATTAATATTAATTGGTCCCCTTGGTAATTTGAAGGCAAATAAATGATATCTTGCCCGATGACATTAAATAATTTGAAGTCGGTCTTTCTCCATTATTTATAATTTGAGGCGTCGTTTGTTTACATACATGTTCTTCTATACAGTAGACGTGTCGACTGTTTACATTAACGATATTATGAGTGAGTTTTCAATCTAGTCTTTTTTTATTTCCCACCGTTCACCTTCTACCACTGACGTGTACTTTCTGAAAAATAACCACTTATGTAGTGCCAGGTAGACTCCATATAATAATTTCTGTTTGGTATAGCCAACCTTTTTAAAAATATGACAAATTATGTTAAATATAATTTCTTTGGTACATTAAATTGTTATTTATCAAACGTAATACAAATTACATGTCAAAATATCCTAAACAATAAAAAGGTTTACTATATATATATATATATATATATATATATATATCTTGATAAAAATTGTAATCACAATTGAAAGCTCGAGTAAAAAATAGTCAACAAATAGCCCCTTTTATTGACTCCAACCCATCAAAAACAGTGTTATATATATATATATATATATTTATATATATATATATATATTATATATATATATATATATATCAATGGTGAATAAATTTTCTTCTTTTTTGTTACTAAACAAAGAAGAATTTTTTAAACAAAATTTTATTTTTGACAATATGTCAAAAATAAAAATTTTTAAGTTAATATTTATGACGTTTTAGGCTGGTTGTAGCTATTCTATATTTGTTTATATTTTCAATTTTTTCTTAAGAAAATTCATCTAAATTTTTCAGAGAAACATTTGTTAGAATAAGACATTTTTTTATTAATATTTTTTGTATTTATTATGTAAGCAGTAGTTTTATATAAAAAACTAATTTTATTTGGTGAGTTAACAAAAAATTTTTTTTATTTCTAGTTCAACTTTGTAAGACATTTTGTATTTTTTAGAAGCTCTTGATAAAAATTGTAATCACAATTGAAAGCTCGAGTAAAAAATAGTCAACAAATAGCCCCTTTTATTGACTCCAACCCATCAAAAACAGTGTTATATTATATATATATATATATATATATAATATATATATATATATATATATATTATATATATATATATATATATATATATATATATATATATCGTAATTTTTTTATTGTCTAAAATGTTTTTAAAATATTTATAAAAAAAATTAAGATCAAATATACAAAATATATAAAAAAAACAAAATACACCAAAAAAATTAACCCCCATATGAAAAACTACAACACACAAATTTTGGCAATATTGGAATTCGTATAAAATGTTACTTTGCACATTCTTTACAAACATTAGCTCTACACTTATCACACATTGAGATCTTATAAACATAAATTCTCAGTCTTTTCATCATTTTTTGGTCGACAGAGCCGACATCTTTTTTTTTTTTTTTTTTTCTTTATTAATTGCATCAACTACTTAGAGTTATTAGCGGGAGGACATAATATACAATTTACAATTAGTTAAATAGTTAAATTACAAACAGTCAAGATTACAATTAAGTGGGTAGGTTTGTAGTTCAATATTTAAATTAAGATTAATTTCACAATATGGTGTTATTAGTAACTAAAGTAAAACCTGTTTATATATTAATATAAATTAAAGTTATTTAAAATTTGTTTAAAATATTAATATCCTTTAGATAATTAAACAGGTTTTTTCTGATTACAATTATCTTCTAAAACATCTTTGATGTTTCCAGGTATTGAATGTTTATTTCTTTCGTTAATAAACTTGGGACAATCTACCAAAATATGTGGTATGGATATATTAGAGTTACAAAGATCACATATAGGGCGATTTGATTTGGCGATAATATAACCATGAGTTAGTCCGCTGTGTCCTATACGCAGTCGAGTCATTTTAACGAATACCCGGCGGTCAACGTTTATTTCACACCATGAATGTGTTGTAGGCTTAATAGTGTTTAGAAATGATTTTGATTGTTGCCATTTATTTCCCCATTCACTTAGCACTTTCTTTTTTACGAGTGATTTAAAATCCGACACAGACACTGTATTCACTGTTATTGATGATGCACTTTTTATTGCTTCACGAGCAATGTGATGGAACCCAGAAAAAACGAATTTGCTGTTTTGCCTGATTTATAAGGTGTAATTAATGTTGTATTAGGTGAACGATAGGGTTACTGGTATAGAGCTGTTGGATTGAATGTAATGCACTAAGAGAGTCAGTAATTATCAGGGTTTTTGAGATATTGTGGTTGTTTATGTGAATTAATGCTTGTAGAATCGAGTACAGTTCTCCAGAGAGAATACTGCTAGTAGGTGATAGTTTGAATTGCAATGTGGTATTTGGAGTGACAATTTCTGATCCTACACCATCAGTGGATTTGGATGCATCTGTATAGATGTGATAATAATCAGAAAAATAGGAGAGTTTGTTAAGTGATTCTTGGTTTATTAATTTGTGAGGAGTTTTAAATTTGTTGTATTTGGTAAGAGTTAGATCGCATTATAAAGGGGGTATTGTCCATGGTCGAAATGCCAGCCGTATTCGGCTTACTAAAGAAGTTTGGAAATTGAATGTTATAAGAGGATAAAAACCTTCGAATTCTCTCGTAGAATGGAGGATCTGTAAGAGTTTTTTTAATATAAATATCTTTAAACGGTCCCCAATTGTGTTATGAAGAGCGGGATGTGACTTTATTGATTGAATATTTGAAGCATAAGCTAACGATAGATATGTTCTTCTCAATTTCAAAGGTGGTTCGCCAGTAAAACATTGTAGACTTTCAATTGAGCTGGTACAAAAAGCTCCTGTGGCTATTCTTAATCCTGTATTCTGTATAGTTTCGAGCTGAGCAAGTAATGTTTTCTTGGCAGAAGCGTAAACTATTGATCCGTAATCAATCTTTGATCGTATAAATGATTTGTAAATGTTAATAAGGCTTTTAAAATCTGAACCCCAATTGTTATTAAACAGAGTTCGCAATAAATTCAGACCAGTTTGGCAAGTTTTCTTGACGTACATAATGTGCATTTTCCAAGAGAGTTTGTTATCAAAAAACATACCTAAAAATTTTATATGATCAACATATTCTAAGCTGTTTCCATATATGTGCAGATTTGGCTTTGTAGAATGTCGATTTTTTGAGAACAATATACATTTTGTTTTGGTAGTAGAAAATTGTACTCCCACAGCTTTTGACCAATTCTCAAGATGATTTATTGTACATTGTAGATTTTTTTGTATCGAGCGAATATTTTTTCCTTTTGCGTATAACACCAAATCATCAGCATATAATCTTGCTTTAACAAGTTTTGGTAAATTATCTAATATTTTATTTATTGAAATAAAAAAAGTGTTGAACTTATAACAGATCCTTGTGGAGTTCCATTTTCTTGATTTTTCATACTTGATGTAACACCATTTACACGTCCTTTAAATTTCCGATTGTTTAGGAAATTACGAATAAAACAGAGCATGCGACCTTTGACTCCCCAGTGACTTAATGTGTTTAAAATATCATACCTCCAAGCCATATCGAAAGCTTTATTTATATCAACAAATACTGCAAGACATTCCTGTTTGATAGCAAAACTTTCGTGTATTTCTGACTCTAAATCTATTAAATTATCCAGAGTTGACCTGTTTCTTCTAAATCCACTTTGTTCGTTAATTATTAAGTTATTTTCCTCTAGAAACCACAATAACCTTTTATTTACCATTTTTTCTAATACTTTGCATATTGTGTTAGTAAGGGAAATTGGTCTATATGACGTAGGATCAGTTCGTGTTTTGTTTGCTTTCAATAAAGGTATTACTATTGCCTCCGCCCATTTTGATGGAAATTCATGACTATGCCAAATATTGTTGTAAAGGTCAAGAAGGAATAGCTTTGCATTGTCATGTAGATTTTGAAGAAAACTTACCGGAATGTCATCTGGTCCTGGTGCCGACTTTTTGGTGGTACTTAAGGAATGATTTAGTTCTTCTATTGTAAATGGTTTGTTGAGGGGGTTATCTTCCATGCCAACAAAATCAATTAGTTGTTGTTCTGTAGGTATCTTAATGTTTAAAAAGTCTTTGGAATAGTTGTTGTTACTAGTGTTAATTTCGAATTGCTTAGCAAATAACTCTGCTATTTCAACGTCAGATGATAATATTTTCTTGTTTCCATACAAGAACGGAATTTTTGATAACTGTTGCATCCAGATATTTTTCTAACCTTTTCCCATACAGTACCTATAGGCATAGAATTATTAATACTAGACAGAAATTATTGCCAAGATTTTTTTCTACTTGTTTTTGTAATATATCTAGCTTGGGCCCGTAATTCCTTATAATCAATGATGTTTTCTACAGTTTTGCAACGCTTCATTTTGTTAAAAGAATTTTTATATTGTTTAATAACTTGGCTACAATCTGTATTCCACCATGGAAGGGAAGTTCTTTTCAAAATTTTTGTTTTTCCTACATAAATGTTAGCAGCGATATATAATAGTGATGTAAATGAACTTAATATTTCATCGATAGATTGATCTTTTGTAGTTTCTTCTAATGTTTGGTAATTGCATTGGATATAGGTTTTAAATGAAGACCAATCTGCTTTTTTCAGGTTCCATTT